CCAGCCAATCAAAATCCTAGCACAACCCAGAGACAACTTTTGTAAACGAGCATGCAAATCTATTCGCACATGGACCACGATGTTAAGAGATATACTTATTCCCTAACTATTCCACCGATATCAGAAATATCCAAGAAAATTATGATATTAGGAAATGAGAGTTAGTTATCTGTTGACAGACCACATGGACTGCCACCATCCCAGAAGCATGCGTCACTGGCAGGCCATATGGGCTGCCATCGGTGTGAATGTGTTACAAACGTGGATCTGTACACTTGGTTTTCTGTGGTCGTGCTTGCCGCAAGTGCAGACTCAGTATCACTCATGATCGCCTCAAAAGTTAAAGTCTGGTGTTTGTTTTTGATGCTCTTTGATGCAGTCAGATTTCAAATATATTAATGTTGGGTAGCCAGATTTTTCATATATTACTACTAGAAGAAAGGGAAGCGATCCAAATATACTGCAAACAAGCAGTAAACCGAGGGTAATTCTAAATTTGCGATAATGCAGGTCCGACTGCGGGACACAAAGTGTACATGAAGAAATCCTTTGACATGCATCCTCCGAACAACTTGGTCTTGAGCTATAGAAAACGTAGCACGAAGTGTAGTGATGTGTGGCATACTATTAGTGCAAAACAGACAGAAAATGGCTGCTTCAAGGAACAAAAGCGATTTGATCGGGCAACAAGTCACATACCTCGTTGTGTTGCGCACTTATTCTGCTCCTCAGCATCGGCCAACATCAACTCCTCCATCAGCACATCCAGACGGGCAACGCCGCTCAACTTCGACACCAAGATATCCTCGCAAATGGAATTCGCTAACGACTGAAACAAGGCTGTTATCTACAGATGAACAAAAGCTTGTAAAAATTCCCTTGGACCAAATTGAGTGAATTCCTACCGATAACGGTGACAGGACGAAGAGAGTCAAATCTCCTAGCCGGGTCCTTTCGTCATGTTTTCGCGTTCGGACGTAGTGTTCAAGTGCTGAGAAGATACGCCTCCTCGTATTCAGTACAGTCGTGACTGCCAACGGAGAAAGACCTTTGGCCACTTAAAATAAAGACGATTGCGTTCAGAACTAAGCATGGACGTACTAATCCCAATTACTCGTTAGAGCCTCGCACAGCACGCCACTTTTAAGGCAAAGTCCGAGATCAAACTGATGTGTTACTGCTCTCGAAAACGACAGTGGAAATGTTATCAGAATCATCCCCGAAAAATCCTTGCATTATTTCCCAATAAAGAGGAATCTGTGCTCTTTACCTCTCACCTCGTTGTCTGATTCATATTCTCTTTCACACTGCAGATAAAGAGGTTTGTAGCTTTTGTGTTTTCAACAGTGCCCCTTCAAAGCGCCTCTACCCCACCAACTTGATCCTGGTGCATGCCTTGAAGTCGACAAGGTGCAGCATTATGACACTTTCTACATCGCAGCCTAATGCCATACTAATCTCTCAACAGTTCCTCAATGGCAATTGCTTTGAAAAGGAGCAACCCATAAACTAGTAGTTCCCGTTTATTTTGGTTATCAATTTATCATTTCTATCCACATTGAATATCCAGGATCCTATAGGTTGGAAAGCAATTTCCGCGACACCCTACAACTAATTTTAACGCTTTGAACACTCCAACTGCCTGTTTAAAATTTATCATTTTGCTATTTGCTTTTCATCCAAAAGATTTCTAACACACATATGTGTCAACCAAATCAGAGTTGATGCAATCCCACTAGAAGATGAAGGAATGCTGAATTTATGAGATTCAAAATAAACCCCATAAAAAATCTTGAATAGATTGGAAGTACAGAAATTCCAAATCACCCCTTCATTTCAGCACAAGCAAACCACACCTTTTGGAAATTAGTGAGCACTTCCATCTGAAAACTAAGCTGTATACAGCAAACGATCACAAACTAGGGTAAACCGTCCATGAGGAGACCCTTAATGGGATGAGTCGCATTTGTGATTCTTCACGAGGTTGTGAGATAAGATATGATTGGCATGCTTTTCAAGATATTGGGAAAAATTCTCGTAAAGTTGGAATTCTTCACGAAATTTTGTGAAATTTGGAAACGCAGCATGTCGTGTTCCACCCCTTCACCGCTACGAAGAACTACCAATCAGAGGAATACTAAGAGGGGTCCATGCGAAAACCTATTCCAGAAGGGTTAGAGTGTCGCACTGAATATGGCCTATACGAACGACGAAGATAGTCAGCGTCGCGAACGTCTAAGCTCATTATTAGCAGACCGTCATGTCTCTTCCTTCACAGTGTAACCACCCCCCCCCCTTCCTCCCCTCGCCATTACCCATAATCCGTTGGTAAGCTCACGATTCATTGTTGAACTTATTTCCCATTTGCAAAAATTGGAGCTGTGCTATTCAAGGTTGGTCGATCTTGTCCTGAGCAGCACCAAGCATCTGACCTCTACTCAAAATCTTAGTAAATTGTTTGGATTGTGGGAAGGTCACATTATCGTATAATACGAGGCGAAGAAACTGAAGAGTGAAGTCTTGGCTCAAGTTGAAAATATACAGATATACACACAAATGAAAATAAAACGGCAAAATTTAGGTGACACCAAAAAGCGTACCAGGATTGAACAGCACACAAGCCTTGAGTGTCACGAATTCCGCGTCGTCAATCGACAGAAACCTCATCGGGGCCACCATCTGATCCATAACTCGCTCACAATCCCGAAGATAGAAACCGCTGAATGATGTACAATTACGCAGCCAGGGTTGTAGGAGAAAGACACGGAAGCGAGGGTCTAGTAGCAGCGACGTGAGTGCGCCTCGCATTTGGTTTCTGTATAGAATCGTGGAAGTAATTACAAGCGATTTCGACCTAAAAAGTGCTTGCGAGCAAATATGGAATCATTTGGCCGATCTTAAATCATTAGAAGACTCAGTTGACGGGACTTGATCTCTAAATGTGCTGTCTACTAACGGCGCTGCTTGTAACTCCTCAAAGTGTGCCACTACGAAAGCAGGAAATGTTTCAATGAAACTAACCTCTTTTCCTGTTCTTCTTTCGATGGCCGAGGTATGAAACTATCATTGATCAGTTTCAAGAAATCAGCACCCTCTTTTGAACGATATGAAACGCAAAGGACGACATGTTGAGGAGCGAAATTCTTCAACAATGCTGTCTGAAATAAGATTGAATATCAAATAAATAGAGTTTGTGAAGCTCTATGGGAAAGAAATCATTTTTCGCACATTCCTTATCAAACACAGAGCAAGAAATTTTAGAAAATTCCCAAGATTTTCAATTAATTTTAAATGATAACAAAATGTATGATTCGGAATCGGAACATTGTGGCAGTGCGACAAAAAGCTAATAATTGGAGATATAATAATATGTGGTCCGCTTCATTCAAATTCCGGCTCTTATTCTCTTTCATCGGAGTACACTTTGAGTTCAAGATATTAAATAATTGGAATCGTTCCGGACCCATTCTTTCTCAGTGGACACTTTTCAAATTAGGAACTACAGTTGAAAATTTTTCCTCTGGGACAGGAGCCGCGTACAAGAAAAAAAACTTTTGCCATTATTGATTTATAAAAATACTGACGCCTTTCAGCCAAAAATTTGTTCATTCGGTTCTTTAAGACTTGAGGATATAAAAACACTAGAAAACATAGTATACATATCAATCTTTGAAGGACGTTGCTCAAGCGAGAAAAAATGCACCGAAAAATCGTTTCGGCGAACACTTAGACCGCTACTGTACTTGCTATATAAAGGCCCTTTGAAGGCAGATTTATATGCACAAGAGGCAGTCCCAGCTAAGAATGGCAACCCTTGCTTTGCCCGTTGAGACTCGGACACGAGACGACGCGAGGGGGGGGGGGGGGGCGTACCGGGACAATGGGCCGTGGAAGCCCGTGTTAGATTGCCGGGTGCATATCCTTCGCTTCCCCTTCTTCGGTATTCGTCTTTATTGTGAAATCCTCTTCAAGTGAGGATTGCTTACAGGTTCTAATTCATAGTCCCTTTTCCGTTTCTGTCTAATACTGATCATTTTGTAACCTGGAAGAGAAAAGGAAGTACTGAGTCAGTAAAAGAGCCCCGGGTCACAGGTATCTCGGCAGCTACAGGCGAGCATTTTAGAGCATTCGCTTGTATGTATACACTTATGCTTTCTGCCCTTTTCAGTCGCCAAGATTACGAAATTGGAAAAGTAAATAGTGAATTAACTTTGGCTAACCTGATCTGCAGTGGAAAGAGTGAGGAATGGAGGCAGCGTCTTTGCCCATTCGATGACTAACAGTAATTGACTGTGGAGAGATTTGAAGATGTCGTTCACAGTCGCTGTCCGTGCTCCCGATGAACAAGGCTGCTGGAAACACTATATAAGGCCTGCAAGGACTAAAGGGTATAGCCGAAAAAGTATTCTTGATGCTCATCTCAATTAGCCGATGCTGATCACCAGTTAATTATGAAGTTAATTATGGCAGCATCAAAACTAACCACGCATTTTATCCACGATCGCTCTACAGAAGCGTAGCCTTGAAACAAGGAGACACAATATAAGGCCGATGTCAGACTTTGCGAATCGCGCGATTCGCTAGCGTCTGCGGTCGCGTCGCGGCCAGTGAATCACTCAATTGGCTGGTACCGCAACGCGACCGCGGACGCTAGCGAATCGCGCGATCGCTCGCGAATTCGCAAAGTCTGACATCGGCCTAAAAAGCGCAATTAGCTGGAGGGGGTAGTTTGCATTGCTATCAGGATTACGGCCACCCTCAGTTCTAGACTAGGGATTTAAGCCTAAGCCTAGGAGAGATAATCATTCAGAGTAAAGTAATCAATCTGAGTAAAGTAGTCATTGTCTGTCAGAGTTCCAAAAGTCGTTTTTCACCCTCTCCCTGGACTTAGGCTTAGACGTTTATTCGATTCCGAAAATGCAAACATGAGAGTAACCCTGGCAAAATTTCAGACTGCACAGGCACTTCTCGCCATAAAAATAATGAAAAATAACAAAAAATTACAAAGATAGGGATAAAGAAAATATGTGAGACGGGAGAGAACCATCAAAGTGGAATGGGTATATGCATAGGGGGTCCTATCGGTCCACGCTAAAACATTCTGCAACGAGCCGCCCAAATCAGTGATTTTCCTACTCTCCTTTGCTCTCTCCGTCTCGCCATTTCCCTCGCTCCCTCTCTCTCGTCTCAATGGGGATTTCGCGCCGCGATTAGGGCCAGCCAAAGCTCGCTGCGATTAAGGCAGTTCGCCTGCATTGCAGCCACGAATGGTCACTGTTCAAGCAAGAGGGCGCAGACGAGAGCAGAGAATGAAGCAGTTCAAACTTGAACTAAAATGCGCCAAAGCGATCGACGGACGTCGTTGCGACCCACGGCGTATGCTCTTTTAGCCTGTCCAATAGTCAGCACTAGCGCATAGCACGCTGCTCTCGGAGGCGCGCTTCTTTATGGCTGCCCCTTTATCTATGAAACATTGAAACCCTTCAGAATTGGTTTTCAGACGCTGCATCAGTTAAATGATTAGAGATTTAGTGGCATCAAGTGAAAAGTCCACGAAGACGCGCACTGCCACTCAAGTATAAACCCTCCCATTCATACCCTAGGGTCATAAAGGCCGAGCAGGCACGAACACTTGTATGGAAGAACATATGCCCTGCAAAGATCTGCTGATAATTATTGGGGGACAAATCAACTACGGCCTCCTCCGCGGTTTTATTTCGTGTATTCGACGTTTCCAGTCTGCTTTATAACGGAATCACGCAGACTGTTGATTGTCTTTTCTGATTTCAACAGCGCTTCGATCAGAGTCTCTGGGCAATCCCAAATAGTCCTCTGGAGAGCCGGTGATTTCCGGCGACGATCGCTTTGACGACCTAGAAGCAGGAAATGACTCCGTTACTTAGGAGGCAAAGTGACAACAGTTGCATGGTGTTTTAGCGGTTAATTTATTCACCCTTCATCAGTGCTTTGATGCCTTTTAATATGAGGCTTGGTAGTCGCACATATGCTGGCTGTTCGAACTCGCTTCCAATCACATCCCTCTCGTTTTGCACTTGTTCGACTCGCATACCAGCACGAATACATCGCGTGTACCGACAAAATCGGCATACCGCTCGATTATCTGGAATCACAATGTAAAGGGCAAAATAGTAGAATTCATTCAAAAATCCTATTATTTTTATAATTTACAGTTAACTGGCTTCCGGACCGCGTGGAACCTTATGGGTAAGACGATCAATTAGAGCCGTGGGGATTCCAATACCCAGCACCTTTCCCCAGTTTCAATCGTTGCTAGGCTAACCTTCGTTGCGTGCTAGTCGCGGTATATGAAGGAAATGATGATAGCGTGCAAAGTCTGTTTTCAACTTTGTACGCACCGCATTTGAATTAGACGATTCAAAGCTTATGCAGCTCAACAGCACGAGAATCCTAGCCTACAAGCAATCTTTTCGAAAATATGCAAGTATTAAGGAGCTATCAGAACATCCAGTATGAGAAAATAGGAATGGATGTGTGCCTTAAACGAAGGCTACTTTCCTTTCAAAATTCATCAAAAGACTAAGGAAAATTTGTGTTAGTTTCTTGTGCCGTACGAGGTTTATAGGTGGAACATTTATTAGTTCGGCCTAACGTTTCGACAAAATCGTCGTCTTCTGAGGCCTAAATGCGGTTCAAGGTTTAGACTTACGTTCTAATCCACCAAGCGCCTTATCCACTCTAGCGGTTCCGACATTCTGTCAGAACCTCCACACGAGAAACGAAACACAAGAAGCAAAAATAAACATTGGTGAAACTACGCCAACAGACGGTTCACCAAGTTTGCCGCGCAGGGGAATCCGCAATACCACCACCATAATATACGCTACATCAAATAGTAAAAAATAATAAGGCACACCACAATTAGTCTACTTCAGATCTTCAGATGATTACACACTCGCCAATGACACGACACAGTCCCGCGCGGTTATAAAGGGGAATTCATCAACGACACAATATATCACAAAATAGGAGCCCAGCTCGAGGAAATCTTTGCCAAGTGCCCGGAAGAAAGTATCATTCTGTGACACATGTCACACTATGCATAACGACAACATAGCATACATAGCAATATTTGTGCAGAAAGCAGGAAAAAAATTCTAGAATCTACAAGCTTGGACATTGTAGAAAAGCACCAGCGCTTAATTAGCTGAAGAGACATAATAATTAACAAAACACAAGCAGCGGAAACATGAGATTCAGTTATTGAAATAACTGGATTCCCCTTCAGCCACACTAATAACTATATTAGCTTCTTTCAAAGAATATTCATGACGTCTCTCCAAACTTCACGCCGTTCATAATGCATCGAGCAGCAGAAATAAGAAAATGATAAAGACTTGATGAACTTGTTCAGGAAGGCCCTGCGCGCTAAGACATCCAATCGACCATTCACCACTCCAATAGACTCTACACTCACCAGGAAGGTCTTTCAGGGCGTGACGAGCTTTTTGAAAACGGTCTTTTGCATGATATAGGGGCAGATGCGGGGACCACAGAACCATGTTTAATTTTTCCTGAACGGCCCTCTGAATACCAGAAAAGGGGGTCCCTAGTTCGATTCCTCTTGGTGACAAATTTTTGCATTTCGAGTTGACGTTCCAAAATTCGCGCAAAATGGAGTTCTGATTGAATTTGGAAACGTCAACTCGAAATGCAAAAATTTGTTACCACGAGGAATCGAACTAGGGACCTCCTTTTCTGGTATTCAGAGGGCCGTTCAGGAAAAATTGAACATGGTTCTGTGGTTCCCGCATCTGCCCCTATATCATGCAAAAGACCGTTTTCAAAAAGCTTGTCACGCCCTGAAAGACCTTCCTGGTCAGCAAAATTGTTGACCGGCACTTTCGAATCAATCTTTCTGAATCAAATACAATTCAGTGTTGGAGGATTCTGCAACGCAGACTGCACCTGCTCTTGGGATGTGCATGTACCAATTAGTTCGCCTGGGTGTACTGATTGACCCTTCGTGGAGTATCATCAGACATTTTCAAAAAGGAGAGAACTGATTATTTCCAAGAAAAAAAAACTCTTTTGACATTCTCTTATCTCTGGGCTCAATGTGGGAATTCGAAAAAAACTGTATACTCAAACTACCAGAACAAAATGTGTAAAAGTGAAGAAAAATAAAAAATAAATGGGACAGAACGATATTGAAGTAAGGAAAGTTTGAAGTAAAACTTGTTCCTAAAATGACTTAGATCTTAACACTCCCGCTCCAAGCTTGGAGAAAAGACTTTGATTTTATAATATTGTAATATGTAATAATAATATAATACATGATCAAATACTACTGTCATATACTTACGTAGGCTTCAGTAATATCACTCAGTCCCGGACATGATTCAGAAGTCAGCCCACTGAAAGTTAAATTTCTCTTGGTCATCATCAAACAGATTTTCTATTGGCGCAGGTTTTTTAGCAATTTTTCCATTAATTCTATAATTTAGTTTAAAAATCTTTTTCATGAGTCCAAATAATGATTTTGCGGACAGCCTAATGCTTCGATATGGCGCGTCATTGAACACATAAATAAATAAATAAATAAATAAAATAACATAAGCAAATAAGAAATAAAGTATATATATAACAAATGAATAAATAAATAGAGATCGTTCACCACAGATAGTCTCTGTGTCCGACTTGACACGAGATGTCTCATTTCAATTTGTATTGGTTATGCCGTGATAATTTATAGGTGACTACATTGATTGATGCCGATTTAAAAAAATTAGAGTTTGCGACATGTTATAAAAGCAAAAATACATAATTCCAAAGTGGCTAGAAAGAGCTAATACAAAACGATCTTAGATCGCACCAACAGTATTTTAGTGACGCTTTTTGCCGCTGGTCTGCTCTTAAAAATGTTATTACCAGCGCAGTTTTTGCCTTGCACAGAAACTTTCTGCGTGTAGGGTCTGTGAAAGGCTCAATTCAAAGTTCCGCAAACAGCAGATTTTCCTTACGATTCGGAATTCCGATAATTTCAGGGCTCATTTTGGTATATAAAGGAACCATGAGTTTGAAAGTACAATGCTTATTGGTCTCATTTCGATACTTGTCGGTGGATTCGAGCCTATGCTCCACTCAACTCACACAGGTGAATTCTTATATGTATATCGCATTCCGATTTCCGTTTTTCGAGATTTTCGAAACAGAAGAAGCAGTGATTCCATAACATGGGAATGATGTTGTTTCCAAACTAATAATTTTTGATCGCTAAGCGATCACCGATCATAAGTGTCACCTTCGCGCCGAAAAGAGATGTGATTTGTTTGGCTACAAAGAACCACAAGGTATTGTAACCACGTAAAACATAAAAAAAGGGTGGACGTATAGACGTTGACAGTAAAAGGTAATAATTCAAAACAAGTCAGGAAACAAAAGAAACGCTTGACAACTCACGTTTGTCTATAAAACATTCCGACTTGAATCTGCACGTGTACTTGTAGCCACGACGAATGGTACGTCGAAAAAATCCTAGAAAATTGAAATATTATGGAAAATAAGCGCCAAATCGGAAGCTGTATTTGAAGATAGCTTCGAATCTCAAGAAATTTGAAGGGTCTCGTGGTCATTTATCGCTGCGATGTTTAGCCGTAAGTCAACGGCTGCATTCCGATAATGCAAATGCATTTGATCAAGAAACTTCCACAACATCCCGCTATGGGACTATTCAGAAAAGATAGAAATTTTCAAATCATAGTTATGATGAAACTTATAGCAGAGAACACAATGAGGAGAGGAAGCTAAGAGAATCTAAGCAATTGCACCGGAAGCCGAGCACGTCTCGAGAAGTCACAAACCTGCCTTCACAATCTGCACACCCAATTCTTTGAGAGAAGTCGCAAGGGTTTTTCCCTGCGTCTTTTTTCACTTCTATTTCCACAAGTACGGAGGACAAAGGCCACGAAGGCGGTTTTTTTGTATTGAGGAGGATATTGTCAGATGCAGTTTTCTTGGGACCTCGATCTCGAATTTCCGTCGTTCGTTTGCTGAGACGACGCACGGCGCACAGAAGTTCATGGTCGAGCTTGTTCCATATTCGGCAATGAAATCAAGTCAAGCGAGAGGTCCATGCATAACCCGGTAATCTTGGATGGCATAACGATGACTCGTATTCGTGGATCGGTCCGTTTTGTGAAACCGCATCACTTTGGGCAAGTGATAAAGGGAAGCCGCGGGGCAAAATAGGTGTAAGAACGTTCAGTAAGGAAGCTGGATGTGGAGAAAGGACTGGAAAGGAAAAGCATGAGAAATTTCCGATTCGCCCGAAATAGATCTCCTCTATTTCAGCAGCATTCCACTGGGATACCGAAGATGTGTTGGATGAGTTTCACGGACCTAGCTCCAGTGGTCCGGTGCCAACAAGAACCGCGCCCGTGCTTTTCCCTCAGCGTCACGTGGCATCTGACAGCGGAAGGTGGGGCTTGCGGACGAAGGTGTGGATTGCGGGTCGAGCGAGCGCTATCGAATAAACCACGGAATGTGACTCAAAGCAAATTAAATAGCAAAACAGAGGATACTTATTGAACAAGAAACTTCATAAGTTCTTTCAAGTGATCGTTTTGCAGGTTTTGGGAGTAGAGTTGAGTTGAGCTTCTCAAAACAAGCAAACCGTGAACATCTCATGCAAATGGCCAAAGTAATCTATCACTCTTTTATTCGCCGTAATATCATAAGAACACTTAACCATTCAAACTTTAATTCACATTTCCCTCACACATTGATAAGCAAACCCCAGTCTTCTCTCAAATTCACATATGTGTTGATGGTAGCATGTTTACGACCAGTGCCATAACAAATACATCACTGGCACACACACACAGATAATAACTTCTAGACAGGCGTAAGGAAAAAGAACAATAAGAATCCACCGTAAATCAGTCACTTTGCACAGCACTCTCAAATGATAAGGAAAGGAACTAGAATCATTCCAAAACATTCCTAAAATCACGAATCATCTGTCCGTGTCAGTTCCGTAGGTTGTGAGGGCCGCATGGTGAACGTGCGTTTTTCTAATATTCCATCACAACTCAAAGACTGAAACTCCTACTTCTCGAAACCACCTCATTTTGAACCGTTTCCACTACACTTATCACTTCACAGGTGCTTCAAGATGCGGTCAATCTTCTTTCCTCGGACCCAATAACCTAAAGAGTGGGGAAGTTCTTGAGGTCCACACCTCCAGCCGAAAGTCTCTACTACAATGGGTCATAACCCCCGAATGAATGTTTTTATCGATATAAATATAACGAATAAAATACTCGGAGATTAATCCCTTTGAGATGCGCCACGTACTCTACACCCATTCGAAATGGCACCGGCACGTTGATTGCATTTGGGCGGTAATGAAAGGACGTGCGGCAGCCAGCTGATGTACATATCAGTGCTCCAATCCTCCCAGGGAAGCCTGGCACTAGTCAAGTGATCAGAGAGGTGGAAGGGTTCCTTGTCCCGGACCGACAATCCGGAATTCGTCCCCTTAACCGTGCGCGTAGCAGGATGCGCCACTCGCCACTACCACTACGCCACTACCGACCTTTTTATAACAGATGTGCGTAGCTTTGCTTTGTTTAGTAACCATGCACGACCGATCCATCTACAGCTCTGGGTAAGTACTGACCCAGAATGCGACCGCACCCCCTCCCTTCAACGCCATGGCCCAGCGATGAGAGCATGATTAGAACCCGTGCATAGTCAAAGGTTCTGTCAATTTTGGAAGCACACTGTTTGCTTTGCTTCCAAACAGATTCATCACCCCATCATATACTGGGCTTTGTTACGTCCGCTCTGTTTGGATAATCAGATCTATTCACTTAACACTCAGATTATGTGGTTTACAATTGAAGTGATGGCTTTGGGAGTGCACTGCACTAATCGTTGGCTTTCCAGGTGTTTACTGCTCGATAAGGCCAGAAAAAGTAACCAAATAAAGCTTTCTAACACCTTTTTTGCGGGTACACCAAAAAACGTTCGAATATTCCTCCCGCTTTGCCAGGATCTGCTGGAAGTTGAACTTGGTCACATTTCGCTTTCGTTTTGAAATAATACCTTTACAGCCATTACATGCTATTGCACCATAGTGACGACCAGTGGCCACGTCTCCACAAACAATACACGCGAGTGAGTCCTTTTCGGCCGGCGATGGATTCACTGAAACATGCAAATGTGAATGTTAAGAAACACGTCATTAACACTTTATCATAATTGGAGTTGCACTTTTCTTGGTTGCCAGCATCTGACTGCAATTATTAGGCTAGGAAGAATAACCGTAAGCGTCGCGTCAAGGCTGTCCGCGGCAGTACGACTTCCATCTACTATGAAACGGTCGAGGATTCGTCGACGACTCGTCGAGGATTTTCGCCTGTTCAGTGACGTTCTCCCGCGCGGACATTCACTCTCGCCACCGCGAGCCGTCTGTGCTCTCCGCGCGTACATTCACTCGACACTATCACACCATAAGAGCCATAGTCGAGGATTTCCTCGACCGTTTCAAGCTACTTCAACCCGACACAAGTCCGCAAAATCTCCGTCGAGCAGGGAATGGACAGAGGTGTAAGGAAGGGGAGAGAGGGGGGGGGGAGAGAAGGAAAGGTTTATACATGTTACGCTGAAGCAGCAAATTTTTGTTTTCGAAGGTGCTATTTTTTCGCTTTTTCTAAATTTCACTCACTGCCCCTGACCCTTCAACCCCCCCCCACCTCCAGACCCCAAAATAAAATACGTTCCCTCCCTCCTCCCAGCCAGGCAAATATGACTTCTTCTCGAGGAATCCTCGCACGCTTCTCACCCTGATGGTGATAAAGGTTGTTAGGACTAGCTGACAGTTCGCGCTGCTTTTGGTGTTCGATCTGACTTCAGCTAGCATTCGTTATTTTCATTATAGAATCAATAAAGTACTGTGTACTACTCTACGTTACGGTAGGACCAAGACGTGACCTTTCCTGCTTTCTTCTACTTCTCCTGGAGGAAAAATTCCTATCTGACAAGGTTGTGTTTCAAAGAACATTTCTTGGCACTTGAGCAAGAAAAAGTGAACATGATACAAAGAGGAAGCAAGTGTGTGGAATTCGTTCAGGGAGAACACCCAAGAAGGTTACTTATCAGACCGTGAACGCTATCTGGATGAGAAACAGCACGTTGACCGACTGCTGCATTAACTATCGAGCTAGGAACCACTTATGGCCATTCACTGCTACAGTTAGCGCGATTTTCGGCCCTAAGTCTACCCATGCCCTGCTTCGACCCTAGGTATAAGACTACCTTTTGCAACACTATACCATCGAGAGGTAGATGGTGTATGACAATCTTGTTTTGTTCTCGGAACTCACAAACAGGTAACAGGCACGGTCGAAATTTTGACTCTTACGGGAGGGTTCGCATTTTTGAAGAGGAACGGAAGAAGCAGTTTTTTGAGAATCAGGAAATTCTCTACGCAATTGAGAGATTTCAGAATTTTGCCCGAAAATAGTTATATGAATAGAGCCCTACTTTACCCCTCGCTCGTCATCTTTTCGGACTTTTGATGTGGACGGAGTTTCGAAATGGTCAAGTCGAAGCAGGTCCAACAACTCTACGACGAACAACATCAACCCTCTAAAGGAGGGAGTCGTGTAAGGACTCCCCAAAGAAGAGGGAACATGATCCACTTAAAATGTCGCCTCATCGTGCGGTTGGACCTTTAGCTGTAGGGTGCCTTCATTTTGGGATTGCTTGCGATGGTGCTTTCTGCTCTCAGAACATCTCAATTTGCCGATATGACGTGATTTTCATGATATTAAAGTTATTGACAATTTGACTAGTATCCGTAGCAACTTTAAGAAACCCACATATACCACTAAAAGTGGACAGAATGAAGGTAGTTCTCTTAATAAACCCACTGACGTAGTATTGCGCATTTCATCCAGAAACACACCTCGTCAAACCACTCGACCCATGAAACAGGGTCAACAAACAAAAAACCATGTTTCTTGAAGAAAGTAGACGAACACTGGAAGGAGAAGTGCAAATTGTGGCTTCACAAGTTCTCAGGTTGATCTGTTGTTTCTAGACTAGCTAGTCACATTCAGCCTTATCAATACAACAGACATTGCCATTTCCCGATCCTGGATAGGAAGTGGTTCAAGAAGCCACGTATGAAACCACTAAGCAATACGTAAGCGGTACCTTTTTTTTATCTAGAATTGTTACCAAATGCATTGGTCGCATTCCAATGAGACTGGTCTCATATCCTTGCCGTTGCCTTTGACCCCTCGTTCCGATTCACCCATTCTCACCGTGCTGCAAATTGCCGGTTTCTGTCCACGAACGGAGCGCCATTGATTGTCACCTAATGGGGTGATCTCTGCGCAATCTATCTGACCGTTGAACAAATAAATAAACAGATGGATCGTCGTTATCAAATGCTTAACTTTTCTCTTACATTTTCTGTCTCTCATTTCTAGGTGGCGTCTGTGTTTTACCAGTACACTCTCTCACACCAACACGTACACACACAGGCGAAAGACGGCCAGACAGAATGATGGAATGATCAATGAGGTCATTTCTTATCGCGTTCGAATCGCCAATAGAGGATCCGATTATGAAGGCGACTTCTCATTCCCCTTATCATACGAACCTCAGTACCGACTAGAGCTGTTGCCTTGTCGGAAACCCCGAAAACGTGATAATTTTGTGCGTTCAAAATAGCTGATGGGGACCTGACCCTATCTCATTACAAGTTCTTCTGATGTGAGTGGATTCAACAGGAAATTTCTCATATCAGTAATAAGATAAAAACAACAGTGTGATCGGCATCAGTCAATCCCGTCGAGATGCGCCATACATTTAACCACCGATTGAAAACAATCACAAACTTGGATGCGCATTCAACCTTGCCTTTCCAACTCAAACAAGCACTATGAAGCTCAGTGAATTTTCTCCTATGTTCAGCAAACTCTAACAACTTGATTTTTTTTTCAAAACGATGCCGAGGTTCCACGAAGAGAGAAGTTGGAGTTTGCTGAACAACGTACCGCCGCGGTACTTCTCTCTACTGCGCGGAGCTTTCTCCTACACTGCGACGCATAATTATAGTTCCACCTACAATTTCAGTACCCGGCTGGATATCATTTTCTCACGATACGGCGCTTATCTCAGTCGGATAGTAATCAGGGTTCCTCTCATATCCTGTAGCATCCTTGAGAAATTTGTTCGTTATGAAGTCACCCCGACAAATTCCAGCGGAGCTGACACTTTGACAATTCCTGCGTCTCTTTTGCTAGGATTTCCCTTTTACGGAAGTGTGACAGCGGTTTTGCCTTTGCTATAAGCTAAGGAACTTGAATGGATAATAATTCCAAATTTTGATTGGGTAAAAGCAAAATGCAGCGGAGAAGCTAAAGCGGATATTTTCGAAAAAATAAGGATAAAAAATTGTTGCTTTCTCAAACTGGATTTCCGTGTTAATATTCAGATTCGCGTTTATATGTGTCACAATTTATCTGTAGAGCCTTTTCCAAAAACATCCCCAGATTCAAGTTTTTGGGAAATTTGTAGGTGGAACTATAATTATGCGTCGCAGTGTATGTACAAAAATGTTCGTCAAGTAGATGGAACGGTAGGCCTGAACAAGCCTCGGGATACCGTATCGCTTACGCCCTTTTGGTTTGAAACAGTTTCTGAAATAGCTAGTATGTTCGAAACGCTTAAATTTAACACACTGACAGCAGCCTGTTAAGCGCGTAGCTCAGCACCTCCTGGATTATTCCTCTCATAATTTCATCATTCCATTAATCATTCCACTAGTGGTAACTGGTGCACTATTTTTCAGATGAGGTATTTTACACAGATACTTGTGGAATGTGAAAAATGAAAAACAAATTGAACAGGACAGGCCTGATCCGTGTACAAAAATCTGACGCGCATGCGCGTCGTGGTGTCGTCAATGTGCTTAAAGTGGCAGGAAGAACGGGTACGTTGCGAATGTAAAGCAGCTCCAAAATTTTAGATCAGCTTTGCTTTCCAAGTCTCCGAAAAAACTGCATTATAGAAGTTCTTTTGTTCATCGCAGCAACTACGTATTGAGATGGGAACTCAAAGGAGAAAACTCCGAGCTAGCCAACATGCGTCTAATTTCTCTTAGGAATCATATATTGCGCAAATAGAAGAAATGGGACGATGGCTCACCCCCTCTTACAAAGGACCAACTGGCGTAACCTTTTTTTGCCACTACTAACATAGATTTTGCAGAAAAAAAAATGAAATATATGTGCTAGCGACGAATGTGGAAAAACCTCAGAGAATGGGAAATCGGAAAGCTCTAAATTGTTCATTGATGTTCGAAGGACGTGAATTTTCGCATTCCAGTTACCGACTGTATGATAACGAGAGCTGGAGCACATCCAAGGAATTGACCTCAAGATAGGAGGTCGATAGGCAACAGAATTGGCGAAAAGTACTAGTGATGCAATATCAGGACTAGGGCCTTAGTAAACCTGTATAAATGATAACTACGAAAAATTTTTACAAGGAAAGGAAGAAAAGAAAGCCTCGCTCCGAAGCGATTCATTACACCACGTCAATTAATTAATCGTTTTCAATCTCGGGTTTCATAGTAATACAGTTTGTGCAAATGAAAGCAAAGTCAGTAAACGTGTTGGGCTCATTTTTGGGGTCCATACAGTCCCTCTTCCCACTCTTAGAGTGGGACCCGCCTTTGCCTACACCCAGAACTCAAGTGAGCCAAGGAAAAATTTTTGGAGAAAGTCGAAATGACCGTTGACCCGGCAAAAATCGAGACGCGCGTCAAAATATCTGAGGGCTTCAACAACAGTAATCGCTGGAATTCTCTTTTATAAGATATCTTCGACTTCGCCAAAAAAAATACTATTCAATTTCTTAGACGCAAATATGGTTTCGATTGCCTGTGCGCAGACGCATTTTTTTCGCGAGTAGGATGTCTGGCTTCAAATTTTCGAAATCACCAAAGAAATGACGATAATGATGATAATAATGGTGATAGTCATAGATAGTCTCGAATCTCGAATGAGCCGAAATAACTGAGATCCAAAGAAACAATAAAGTGAGGCACTCACATTCGAGCGAATCTCGGGTATCAATATCATCGTCAATATTGGTAGAGACCATTCTGAAATGAGGCATCTCCTCATCAGTTTAATCGATAAATCGATTTCATCAAATTCGACAGATCAGAAGAAGACGACGATGAGGTTCGATAGCGCGACGAGTAACTTCACATGAGACGACAGCGCTAGAAACACGCATACAACGGTGATGATGTCATTGTGTGATATTCGGACACACCCGAACGAGATATTCGCGAAACCTGTCATATGGAATCACTTAATGAATGTGGTGTATGATCATCCGATTAGCACAAAAAAGAGCACAAGTGAAAAAGTCATAGCAGTTAATTCATCCTGTTTTCATTTACAGTCAAATTTCGTTAGCATTAAAACACACTGAATTGTTTGATATTCTATTTCAAACACAAATTTTGAAAAAAAAGAATATCGACTATTTTTGTGTGGAGATATCTTATCAGTTTGTTAGCCGCAACGGCATAAGGTCATCGGGCATCGATTGATAAGATCTCGCCCAGCCGCGACGCAGTTCGAGAGCTTTATAGACGTAATGGGCACAGAAAAGGACAACAACGACCACGGCCGTATTTTGACCGAACACCTCACTGAGTGTGGTTTCATTTTTGGGGTGCACAGTCAGCGCTAGAGGTCGTAAAAGAGGAACTGGATATACGCGAACACAAACTGCAGTATCGTGACAAAATTTTATGCAGTGGAAGTTTTGTGGTTTCTTCCGAGTGACAAAGAAACATTTCTTGCAGAGTCATGGAGCAAATGATGACGTAGAAAAAAAAAAAAAAAAAGGCAGTGATGAGGTGAGCAGAGAAAGTGAAATGAACGCGCTAATGAGAGGCAGCGAAGTGATCTCGAGCGGCGTCCCAAAGTGATCTAGTTGCAATCGAGCTAATGCTGCCAAGTGCACAAAACACTTAAACGCGATAGACGCACAGAAAGCGTGTTCGAAGTTGATATATGTCTTGAGGTATTGGAGGCTGTGTAGACGCCAAAACGGGTTCGCCATACGGGGGCAGGCATGGGCTCGGGGGACAGTCCCGCGCGGCGGCGTGCGACAAGAATTCGTTGAGCAGGGGGGTGTAGCATCAGGGGGTTGGGGATAGCCTCACCGCTACTTAAAGATGCGCAGCTCCCACCGTCACGAGGGGTCATCCTTCTTTGGCTGTCCACGAGGGCAGTCACATGACATGCGTGAGAAGCTGGAATGTTCCGTGAGAAGCCGGAATGTTCGAATTTCCTGTTGCCGCACGGCCGCGCGCGGCGACTGGCCCCCCTCGAGTCACATAGCGCCCTGGCATTCTACGACTAAGTTAGAGATGGTAGAGATCTCGCTAGGTGTCGTGTCTAGAAATATGTTTTACGCGGTAGTTAAGGGCATTGGCAACACCGTTGCGATAGCGCTAAAAAACAGATGAATGACCATCGGCTACACAAAGCCATACAACATACGACTGTTCGTGAGAGGGACTGATAAACCGAGTAAGGCCAGCGTTAGATGTGCTGGGAAGAAATGATGAACAAGATTCATTTACTTATTTATTGATCATTTATGGAGGTTATATACAGAGCGATGAAATATCTTTTTAATTAGAGGAACGATCGAGCGACTCATCCACCTAATCAGTGGAATTTAAAAACCAGAGAAAAAAAACGAAAAGGAAAAGATTGATTTAGAAGTTCGCGCTCAAACCTGGAAGCTGCGTAGAGCGAACGCAGATCCAAATGGAAGGTCCAGCGGTGGATAATGAGTTGTATCTGTAAAGTTGACTAGAATGGAAAGCAAGAACACGTAGGATAAAGCATTAATGGTATTACCCTCTCTCTTGCTTGCATAGGAATGAGGGCCGGCGCGAGTGAACGAACTTTCTTGCTCGGCCACTGACTCGCGGGTTTTGATTAACCCGCGAAACTCGTTGACTATCTGGTATTGGGGGTGTGCGCGGAGTTATCTCGCTCATACGCTAGATAATGCCATAGTCACTTATGTAAGCTAGCGCCATTGTGGCGCGCTTTCGAGACGCAGCAACGGCAGAGTTCTGGCAACCCAAACAGCACTCTTATTTCTTGACCAAGAATGGGTGCTGCAATGACCAGTAAAGGATTGTCGAGGCGGGTAAGGCACCGTTCACAGCTCGCGATTGATGCGATTTGACGATACTACTCAAAGGAAAACATACGCATCGATCCAAAAATTCGGCGATTACGCGATTAAGCGATTTGGTTATCTGGCGATTATGCTTTAAGGACTAGGAGCACATTGATCGGTTTGACCTCGCGCGATGAGCGTTCGTCGATGCGACACGTCGACGATCCTTCCAGCCGGCGTATGCTTTCCATTCAGCATAATCGCTCAACTTGTCAAATCGCTCAATCGCATAATCGCTTGAATCGTGGCTGTGAACACTGCCCAAGAGTTGAGAACGGGAAGCGAAACGTCAGGAATTGCACTTGCCGTTGCAAAAAAAATTGGCGCTTCAAAAAAACCCAAAATAACAGGAACTATTTGCAAAAAAAACTAACAAAAAATGTAATTTTTGAAAAGCATGCACCGGCACCAAAGTGACTTCAGAAAACATTAGCAAAATAGGCGCAATGTGGCTTTAGGGGGGAGGGTAGCCTGTAACATTATCAGATTCACGAAAACTTTCAGTTTTGGGACTAAGCTTTGGAGGAGGAGATGGGAATCCGTAAGCAATTTTTACGCTCCGGAATTCATCCCTCTGCATTAGGCTTAGTCCTAGTGGCCTTCCGACAGACTGCCCCTTCCCCCCACCCCCTGGAGCCACATTGCGCCGCAAAATAATTTGTGCTTTTTTAAGTTACGGTGAAGAGTAGGTGGCCAAAGGCTTAAAGTTTTATTCATCATTTCTTGATGCTAGCGGTGAAATAGGAGAATGGAAGGGAAGAGAACCGTCTAGCTCCTGTCTATTGAACCTTGCCCTGCCTCCCTGCCTTCACAATTTCAGTGAGCGTAATAACTGTGCGCGCGATGCGTCCTTACACAGTTTCGGTACGACGAAGTGCCGATTGAAAGGACCACTGGACCGAGCGTAGGGCCACACAGGCACCAGAGAGCTGCTGATGAAGGAATCGTAACTAGGGCGAGACATTCGCGTGCACAGTCTAGCAAGAGGTGCCACGGCAAAACAGCCACCAATCGAATCGCAACTGTGACGGGTGTAATTGTACGAGGCCTAGCCACATAAACAGTGATGGGGGTTCAATAAGGAGAAAAAACGCCGTCGACAACGACAACAGTGACGGTGGTGGAGCCGCCGATGAACGCCACCACAAACACAAGCACAACGCCAGCAGCCACCCATCGCGTATTTACACTGAACGCCGCAGTGATGAGAACCGCTGAACGCTTGATATAGATCTAAGATCACAGATCACTGACGGACACCCTTGTTGAGCTGCAGGTGGCTAGGCATGCCTTGCAGCCGAGTGCCACCATTGTGATGTCTATGAATTGTTGCGATATTAAATGAAATTCAAAAAAGAGCATTTTTGCCGTCAACCCTCATTTTTTTACATCTACGACCCTTTAAAGAGCGCCGCTTGAACTGATTTCCCAAAAGTCTTCGTACCATCCCTGCAGATTGCCTAGTGAGCAACGGATTAGATTCCGATTCCTGAAAGTCTTCTAACTACTTAGAAATCCAATTTATAGCCGGTAATAAGGCTTAATGTCTCTAAGGGCATCGATACATGCTCTTGGGTAATTTCCGACGTTATACGATTGTGACGTTCAGGAAAATTAGTAGGTGTCGGACAGAGGCGACAGTTTTGCTTCATTGTATACTTTGTGCAACTCAGGATCGAATAGGGAACAAAGGCTACAATCTGCGCGCAATCGGTGTCAGAGCTGTTTTATTCCGAATACAGCTGTCTGTTTACTTACACTGTCTCGAAGCCCCCCCCCCTTGAAAGCCATTTCACCTGTCAAAACGCAGTGCCACTGCGAATTAGTTAGACGGTGGCGAGATACACAAAGAGGAAAAACTAGAAAATTGCCTAAATGGAGAAATTGGAGTGTTCCTTCCTATAGCCTTGCGCATTGTGACTCTCACCGCTGCTGCCCTCTTCAATGTTAACGCTGTCTCTGCTAAACAGCCAGACACAGACGACGCGAGAGGGGCGTACCGTGCCAGTGGCGCGCCAATTGCGCCGCGGGAAAGGCCATGCTAAATCGCCGGAGCATATCCTTCAGATGCGAATCGAGTGTCGGTCCGCATCAACCCTTACGAAGTCCGACGTGTCCCTTCACTACGGTAAATTCTCCTTCTTTGGATCTGTCTTCCTTATCTGGGCAATCCCCATTTAAATTGCGTAAGCGCTTCCTTGGGGGATTCTTTTATGCGACCGATCCTCATGGTATTTATAATATGTATGGAGGAAAGGGCAAGATTCTCATTTCAAATCCAAAATTTCTAATCTTTTCTAGTTGGCTGCTTTAAAGGAATCTTGCGCGGAAAAATCATGATTCTATTTCAGCCATAAATCACTGGCTTGAGACTCATTATCCACGATAATAGTGAAAAGAACTGAAGTATTGCTTTCGTTTTGATTAGAAATTCGAAAACTCGAAAAGGCTGCTACGCGTTCGAATTGCCCACGGACGTCTTTCACGAATGCTGGCGACGGGGATGCTCAAACTTGGTTCTTGGAGTGCATTCACTAGAAGCTCTTTCTGGCCTTCTGCTTCGTTGCATTCACATCTTACACTTCTACTCCATCCTATTCCATCGATCGATTTGTCTCCACTCTCCGAAATCGCGCGCTTTAACCCGATTCTCTCATTGCGTCGCCTGGTACGTAGCCGGCCAAACGCCGTCTTCTTTCCATGCCTCGCCTGGCTCTGCCTCCTGGTCCTTCGATGGTCCATAACGTGTAGTTTTTGTACGTTTGTTTCTCTTCAGAAACCGAATCTTCATGCGTGAAACTTTGTGTGCTATTTCCAGTGATCACAACTGACATATTCATGTTAGGAAAGAGTGCAAGAATTTTCCGCGCAAGATTCCTTTA